AGGTTTAGATTAGATATTAGGAAGAAATTCTTTCCTGTGAGGGTGGTCAGACACTGACACAGGTTGCCCAGAGAAGTTGTGGATGTCTCCTCCTTGGAAGTGTTTAAGGCCAGGTTGGATGAGGCTTTGAGCAACCTGGTCTAGTGGAAGGTGTCCCTGCTGATGGCAGGGGGGTTGGAATTAGATGATCTTTAAGGTCCCTTCCAGCCCTAACCATTCTATGATTCTATGACTTCATGTTTTACTAGTCTGCAACTGAGAAGGACTTGGTGGGAAAAAAGCAGAGCAATTACCAAACCTCAGAGTTGGATTTTGGATGTGCCAATGAGATATTCCATATCCTATAATGCCATGTTCAGTATATTAATGAGGGTTGACCAGAAAGCTGGAGATTCTCTTGGGGATCTCTCAGGCTCACTCTTCTGGGATTGCAGTTTCATTTTCAGGACTGTCTCTGCTCTGGGATCACTAGCTGGGGACAGGATGAGCATCTGTGGGTGGGCGGTGAGCAACTGCACTGCACATCATTCATTTGCATAGTCTATTATTACTGGTTTTATCATTATTATTTTATTTAATTTCAATTATTAAATTGTTTTTATTTTAACCCATGTGTCTCCTTAACCTTACCCCTCCGATTCCCTCCTTATTCCCCGACGAGGGGAGTGAGTGAGTAGCTGTGTTTGGCAGCTAGCCATGTGAAACCATCACAATACCAATTACATAAACTAAGAAACCCTCACTAAAGCAAGACTTCTTGCAATTCAGTAAAAATGCTAGAAAGAACCTAGCAAAAGTAAGAAGTGTCAGAGGATTTATCTCCCTAAAGAAAATGAAGTAGTGATTTAACCTGGTATCTGTAGCATTTTTCTCAAAATATTCTTCAACATCCATTCTTGTGCCAGTGCTTTGATCCTCTACATTAATGCTGCTTCCATCCTCAGAAGGAACCAATTCCTTGGTAGAAGTATCTGAAGAAAGTAAATACTGACTAGGATTTCTGTTTTGTTTGGAGTAGGCGTGCATTACAAGGCTATTGGCCATGTCCAACTCATCTTGAGTGGGTAACATGTGTGTCCATTCTGGTTAGAACAAAAAACAGAATAGAAAAGGATAGCTTATTACAGACTAAGGTTTCACATATACATAAAGCTATTTTACAGATGTTCAGCTTCAAACCTCATTTAACAAAGTCTGTATTCTCCAAAGACGCAAATTTAAATCCCAGGTAAATGCAGGCCTAAGATCGCTGTTTTGATAGTAAGAATGCAGCAACTGACATTCAACCAATTAAAGCAGACAGTTAATTTGAAATAAAAGTCTGTAAAAAACTACACTAAACCCAGGTAATTTCAGGTTGTAGCAAGTTAGGTGGAAAAAGCTAAGCTTCATGTTAAAGGCCTGAAAAGACCACTGATAGTTACAGTCATTTAAGCCTGATTCCTTTTTTTTTGTCCAATTTATGCAAACAGATTAATTCAAACATGTCCTTCCCAAAACAGGTCTCAGAAACACCTTCTAGCACAGTGATGCAGTTGGCAGTACCTAGTAAGGCGCTTTACTTTTCCCAGCCAACTTGCATTGCATAGTCTCACTATGTGTTGCAATTCAGCAGAACTAAAAGCATAAAAGACTCTTGATCGCCTGCTATGCAGCAGCATGTGGAAGAGCTTTGCAGCCCCTGCTCCATCCCTCCCTAGGTGAACCCAGAAAGTACAAGCAAGTCTTTGTCCCATAAAACAGATCATACCTTCATTGCTTGTTTTTAACTGGAACATTTGATCACCCATTGCAAGTAAAGTCATGGCAGCTTCAGTGCTTCCATCATTAATTCCTGCAGGGTTGTTAATACATGTTAAAAGTCACAAATACATTAAACAAAAATCCACTTATCCATATTCAAAAAGCATTTGACAGTATCATCAATATAGTGAAGTATGTATTTTTTAAATTGTTGCCATTCATGGATCAAGGTGCTTGTAGGCAGACAGCAATACGCATCCACTAAATTCAAACTACTGTAAAAACAGTGAGCAGCAACATTATTCCTTTAATGGTGTACTGGGTACAGGTGGCAAGGTGTTGGCAGCATTAGGGTTGCCCTGGACACAGCCAGTTTCAACTGACCCACCACAGGACACAGCTGAGCCTGTCAGCCAAGACAGTACCACCTTCAGGAAACATATTTAAGGAAGGGGGAAAATGCTGCACAGCAGTGAAGAGTGAGGGGAAAAAGTGTCAAAAACAACTCTTGTGAACCAAGGTTGGTAAGGAAGGACAGAGAGGAGGTAGCCTATGCATGGGAGCAGAGATTCCCTTGCAACCTATGGAGGAGACCTGGATGGAGCATGTAGATATTCCCTAAAGCAAATGCAACCTGTAGAGGACCCCCAGTAGAGCAGACTTACCCTGAGGGATTGTACCCCATAGGAAGGGCCCCACAATTGAGCAGGGAAGAAGAAGCAGCAGAGGTGAAGTGTTAGAAACTGACTGAAACCCCCATTCCCCATCCCCCTGTGCTGCTTGTGGGGAGGAGGCAGAGAAGTGGGAAATGAAAGTGTGAAGTTGAGTCTAAGAAGGCAGGGAAGGGAAGGTATTTTCGTTTTTGTCTTTGTTTCTCAGCATCCTACTTTATTTTGTTTGGTAATAGATTAAATTAGTTTTCTCCAAGTTGAGTCTGTTTTGGCAAGCGATCTCCCTATCTTTATCTCAACCCAAGAGTTTTTCCATTTTATTTTCTCCCCTCATCCTGCTGAGAAGCAGGAGTGAGAGGGCAGATGGGTGGGCATCTAACAGCCACCACAAAAGGAAAAGAAAGAGGTAACAGTTTAATCACAGAATTCCATAACCTACGGTGTTGATCCATATCCTAGTTTAGACTCCTGATTCCCAATCTCTACTCAGAATACATCCCTTTGCCTATCACTAACCTGTCATATCCAACAAGACATTTTCATCCTCCAAAGCTATTGTATTGAAATAAACTGAAAGACGAAGTAGGCTTCCCCTCCTGCAACTAAGCATTTTCCAGTGCTTCCTAGGAGGATATATTTGGAATGTATTTAAATTTAAAAGTGAAAGGTAGTCTAAAAATTAATAGGTCCATAAGAGTTTGTAACATAGCTCACATGGAAAGAGTATTTGCTTCTGTAAGACTGTGATCACAGTCTGTCACACATGCTATTTCACCAGTTTAGGATATTAAAGTCAGAGACCACAGAGATAAAGCTATGAATCTGTCCACTCTTTGTATCACTCAGTCACATATTAAGCAAGCTGCAAGTAAGCACTTGCTAAGTTTCCTCTTCTCCTGGTACAACTAACCACAACATGGGGAAATGATAGGATGGGATAATAAAAGGCACATCCTGACCCTGGGAGAGAGAACCTTGCAATGCTTCATCTCCTGTACTTCATAAGGAACAGTAAAAAAGAAAGTGCTTTAAACTTCCTCCAAAACATAAAAGCATCGAGTATCTCATGAGTAAGTTTTTTTATAAGACATACAAACCTCCAAACTTCCAGCAAGAATAACTACACATAGGTAGCAAAATAGTCGGAAAGATACGAAAAAAACTGTCTCATATCTACCTTTGTTCACCTCTGCATTTTCATGTATGGTTGTTTCCTTAAAAAAAGAAAAACAATATCAAAGTTCTATATAAAATGCATCCACAATTTTCATTTAATGCTTATGGGTAATCTCTCTGCCCAAAGGTTACCCTGGCTTTGAAAGGGTATTTTAAAGAATAACTATTTACTTACACAGTTTTCCTACAGCTGTGTCCCTCATATCTGTGTGGGACCAGTAAGAGTCTATTAAGCTATACTCTTACAAGCAGATATGGAACTAGACACTGTCCACATAGCTGTATGTGCTATAAAACAACAACAAAAAAAAAACCACCACCAACAAAAGATATTCTTACAGCTGTCGAGGTGCTTACTTTTTCCTCCCTCTGTACCACTGGCTGGAAAGATGCATGAGAGGAACTTTCAGCATCAGTAGACATCTGCACATCTGGCATATTCACAGGTATTTCCAGCTGTGAAAATAATAAAAAAGTATTTCAGTTCATCAGCCCGAAAAGAAAATCTGCCAAATGTACAGTTTTATAAAGCACATATACTTAACCAGACCTTCAACATTTAGTGGGATCCTTCATAAAAATCAAGTCTTATACTACATAACATTGTGATTTAAGAAGGCAGCAGTTGTATGAACTGGAAGCAGAACTCGTAGCGCTGCTTATAATTAACTGGAATCATCAGACAACCTAAGACCTTGCTTCTAGTTGCTTATTACTCCAGCAAACTAAGTTGTGCAGCTGAGATCTTTCATGGTAGCTGTTTACCTCAAAAAGGTTTTGCTAGTTTTCACACTTTTTCAGCTTTTTTAAGTCTTCAGGAAATAAAAACAGTTTAGCCTTTTTCCAAACTAAGACTAGGGAATACACACACCCACACACAGACACATACCCACCCACCATTTTACCTACATTTTTTTTTTCCTCTTTTTTAACACTGTCTTTTCACTGAGAACTTCAGACATTTGACATTTTCAGAAACAAAGACTTGAAATTTGGCAGAAAGGTTACAATTTTCCAGTGACATTCTTATGAAAAACACTACTTAATCTGGGTAGCTTTCAAAGGCTTGCACTCTTACAGATACCTTCCATTGATCTCTCTAAATCTGACAACAGCTGAGTCCTCAGGTATCTAACCATATCCCCTACTAGTACTCATGGCTCCTGTGTGTTAAACCAGGAAACTTGATCATCATCCCCACATGTAATATATTCCACATTTTGAAAAGAAGGGATTCAGCAAAACTTTCCATGCAACAACTTTGCTGTACATTATTGTTCTAGAGTCTCCCTGGATGTTTTGACTGAGTTTTAAACTCTCTTGCTGTTTCACCCAGAGAAAGAAACCATGATTAATTCAGGAGACAAAAAAGCAGGAGAAGAGAGGAAGATAACTAGTAGTAGTAAACAAAAAGAATTGGAATGAATGGAAAGAAGTACTGATGAAGATCTGGGGCATGAATGGAACACGTCAGATAAACAGATTTGGAATGAAGTGAAAAGAAAAAAAAAAAGCTATGAAGACATATTACTGAGATACGACAGGCTAGAACGGACAAAAAAAGGTAAAGAAGTCACGTTGAACGATAAGGAAAAAACCCAGAAAAATGTCTAAACCTTTGAGCACAATACCTTTCCAGGCCTTGAACAGAGTCCATTATTCCCAAAGCTCATAAGTTCCCTGATGACAAAAGAGTATACCATTTCCTCTTTAGTGACTGGTTTTAGTAGATATGATACCAAGTCTTGCTACAGTCTTATCTCAACTCTAAAAGTACAATTAAAACATAGGCCTGCACTTTAAACTTAAAAGCTTCCACCTCTACAAATGGTCCGTGGAAGAGCCAAAACACAAAGCTTTTGAAAAAAATTGACAAAAATGTAAGTGCTCTCTCAATGTCAGCAGCACAGACTGAGGCCCACGGATCTGCCCATGCCAGACAGAGCAGGAACATCCCTGCATGGACTGCAGCTCATGTAGGACCCATGCTGGAGCACAGGCAAGGAATGGAGTCCATTACAAAGTCAAACTCTACAGCCTGAACCAAAGGGACAAGGGCTAGAGATTTTAATGGATAGACGTTTAAACTTTTTTTAACACATTATGCGAGTTGTATGCAAAAATACTACAGCAAAAACAATATGAACCAAGAGAAGACAAGCCTTACAAGAAACCAGGCAAGTGCAATGGTGACCACCCTAAGCAGGCTTTGGCACTGAAAAACTCAACACAACATGCCATCTCTCCTGAGCAACGATGTCATACACAGAGCCCAAGGCATGGACTAAACTCAAAGGACATTTGATGGACATTTTAAGGGGGTGGCTCACAGACCAAGGGAGCTATAGTCATGTATGTATCAAAAAACAGAAAGAGAAGCTGTGGTTAATAAGGATGTACTGGATAGTGTAGGACCCAAACATGACACAAATGGTATGAAACAAAGGGTGAAGATTGTACTAGGCGTGGCTGGGATTAAGTTAATTTTCTTCATAGCAGCCCATACTGCTGTGTTTTGGATTTATGACTACAACAGTGTTGGTAACACACCAGTGTTTTTGCTACTGTTGTACAGTGCTTGCACAATGTTTTCCTACTCTTTGCCCCAGTGGAGTAAGCTGAGGGTGGGCAAGAGGTCAGGAGAGCACGCAGCTGGCATAGCTGATCCAAACTGAATAAAGGGATATCCCATATTATATGATGCCATGTTCAGCAATAAAAGCTCAGGGAAAGGAGGAGGAAGAGGAGGGTGTTTGTGGTTACGGTGTTTGTCTTCCAGAGTAACTCTTACACAGGCTGAAGCCCTGCTTTCCAGGAAGTGGCCTGCCAGTGCTGTCCTGCTTAGGATGTAGGGCAAAGTAGTGAATAAATTCCTTGTTTTGCTTCGCTTTTACATCAAGTTTTTGCTTCACTTATTGAACTGTCTTTATATCAATCCATAAGTCTTCTTACCTTTCTCCTATTTTCTCCTTGTCCCACAGGACAGGGGAGTGAGCAAGTAGATGTGTATGTGCCTGGCTGCTGGTCAGGGTCAGCTCACCACACAGTTAAAGTTTCTTGGTAATGGGGACACCACACGCACATCTCCCCCTTTCCCCTCATTTCTTAACATTCAAATGTAAAATTGAAATGTTCCATTTGTTCCACCTTGGGCTTCAAAACACACAGTAAGCATGGTAGTCGGTTCCTACATTCAATCTCAACAAACAAACTGCTAAGTACTCTGCAGACCTATATACAGTTTGTAAACATAACTGAAACTTAGACAGTGTTTTGTTCAAAACCAAGTAAATGTGTCAAGTAACACTCGTGCTACTGTTCTTAACAAATCAAACTAAATTGGGATAAAAATCAATACTCAGACATGCAATTAGAATAAAAGCTGGTTAAAAAATCAAAACAAAAGTACATCTGCAGAACCCAGCTACATGATACCTCCTCTATGGTTTCCTCTATCTGAACAGGAACAGGTTTTGGAGATCGAAGACCTATAGGCACAAACACTGGAGCTTTGTTTACTTCCTCTGGTGCAAAGCATTCATCTTCATCCTCAGCCTCAAAGTCATCTGCCTCCTCCTCCTCCTCCTCTTGAGCAGCCCGGAGGGTCACCAAGGTTACCTTTGAACTTCTGTGCTCCTTCCCAGATTTCTTTCTATGTGTAGTTTTCAAACTTTTGCCCCTAGTAACATTCAGTTTAGCTTCTTGCCTTTGATTGTTCTTCTCACTGCAATCAGCCTCAGAGGCAAAAGCAGCAGTTCTTAGCTCCGAGACATGTTTTGGCAGCACTATCCGTTTCGCTGACCTTCTGGACTGCCTTCTAAAGTACAGAACAAAAAGCATGTTTAAAAAACAGTGAAGTCCAAGACATTCCAAAAAAGGGGTACCACAAAACAAAACAAACTCAATAAAAATGGACCACTGTGACCAACAGTACCATCTACTTGCTTCCCAAATGTATCCATATACTATTTAAGCAGAAATCCTAATTTCTTCATGTATGCACAAAGTACTGATTGTAAATGTATATTAAGCAGTTTCAGAGTGTTAGAAAGCTCCACAAATAAATTCAAAAGACACAGAATTCTTTAGAAAATGATGAACTAAATTTCGTTTTGAGGGATGTGGAAGTCACATGCTTTTTATGTCACGGGAACATTTCCAGTTCTCCTTTGTGAAAGCTACACTAGAAGCCCCAAACTATGATATTTTAGTTGATCAGACTAATGTCTAGAAACTAGAACTGTTAGATGTAAGTAATTATCTGCTGCAGTTTCTCAGACAGCAATCTCTTCAACAACCAGCTGCTTACTGTTTCCCTCCTCAAAGTGATAGGTACAATCACTTTGGGTACCAAAAGTAATTCCAAACTTCCCACAGAAAACATCCTCTTTGGTAAACTGGTGTGGAGGGGGGGAAACAAAGAGTAGCATAGAGTGCTGGACACTCGCAGCATAGAGTTTCTGTTTAGGTTAATCCCACAATCCCTATGCTGCCAACATGGGTACTTCAAAGTCCCTTCCTTTACCAGGCGTTCCTGTTGAAACGAAAGGTGACCCTGGGATGGGTTCATGGGACTGCTGGCTATGTTCATTTAATTAAAGTGCAAGCAGGGTAGGAGATAGAGTGATATCTGTGTGCAGCCAGTAGAGTTCAGATGGAAGACACAAGGACTGCATGTACTCACATAACACACTGCAGAACTATGACTAATAATTATGTTTTTAAAACAAAGGCCAAAACCAATCATTTGAGCTTAAAAGTCAAAATTAGTTGTTTTACCTTGGGAGATTGTCTAATTTTTTTTCTTGAGAGGTAGAAAGCCAAGAACCATCTTCTTGTTCTACTTGACTCTCACTCTCTGATGATACCTCTGGAGACTGAAGTCTATTATCCTCCTGCCTGATTCTTTTACAATATGTTTCTTCAACAGAGTCTGTAAATTTGTGTTTCCTTGTAGCTTCCGAGAAGGATGCCGCTTCTACTATGTCACTAGACTTCTGCTGAACAGAGGAGACAATTACTATTATACTAAGTGCTGAACATTTTTAACTGGTTTTGGTGACAAAAAGATTTAAAGAGCTAAGGTTGAGGTTCTTGAAAACATGCCCAGCTGTCATCTCTGATAGATTAGGACATTTTTCCCCATTTTATTTAATTTTGGGCTCTGTAGCAGAAGTGTCATCAGATGTTATTATTTATGATGCCTGAGCTCCCAGTGCTGCTGCTAGTTAACAGACCAAGGCCATGCTCAACTTAGCAAGAGCAGCAACTTTTCAGCAGCTTGAAAGATAAATCATTTTATATAACTACCTATTAATTTAAAGAACAATTTGAAGGAAGGAACAATTTTTTTTCCTGCCCTGTAAACAAACTAGGAAGAAAAACCTACCATAGTTTACAAAACAACATTTAAGTATTATTAAAAACATACACACACAAACATACTTCAGAACATAAAAAACATCAACAAGCACAGTTTTGTCAACTGTGGATAGATACTTGGCTAAAATAGTATGTTAACTGAAAGATTTTAGTGATCCATCTAGAAAATAAGGAACACCACATAAACTTTATTCAGGTATTGCAACTTTAGACAGAGAAGGAATTAGTCTGGGCTAGGTTAGGCCTGTTGAATGAATTTAAGCAGAAGAAAGTCTGAACTTTGTTCACATACTTTTCAACTATAAGTACCCTCATATGAACTTTAAGTAGTATCTGATGTTAGAGAGCTGTCTTAATTTGCATTCTGCAACAAATAATAGACATTAATTAGTAACAGTGTTAGCATGTATTTATTATAATGCAGACTTTTGACCATATAAACTGCAAAAATTAAGACAGTAGAGAACACTAAATATTCCACAGTTTATAAATTCTTAGACCATTTATTCAGCATAATTTCCAATAGCGTACTGTGTTGGGTTGGGGGTGAGGGGCATTTTTGTTAGTGGGAGAAGGGGCCACCTTGTGACAGCAACAGCTCCCCTGGCTCCAAGGCGGAGATCCCCCAGCCCAGGCTGGGCCAGTGAGCACTAGAGAAACACCTCTGCCAATCCATGTTTGTGAGGGGAAGGACTGTCCTGAAAAGAAGAAGGTGTGGTCCCTGGAGGAGAGGCCATTGACCTGAACAAAAGACCATTGGCCTAAACAAAGGGACAGCTTCGTTGCCATAAGGAAGGAGGAGGAGGGGGAGGACAGAGAACCTCGGACACCCAGTTCAACCACGTGGAGTAGGAGAAGGCAAAGGAGGTCCCTGCAGCCCATGGAGGTTCAACAGCTGAGCAGAGACCGACATGTAGGCTACGGAGGACTCCACGCTGGCACAGAAAAGCTGAGCCTGAGGGCAACTGTGACTGAACTGAGACCCCGAGGGTTGCTCAACACCAGAGCAGGGGGGTGAGGAGGTGTGCTGGACCAGAGGCCCATCTGCAGCCCATGGATGTCCCCATGCCAGAGCCAGGAGCTGTGCCCAAAGAGGTCCGTGATTCCACGGGAAGCTCGTGTTGGAACATCTTGTTCCTGGACTTCCATGCCGGGAAGAGCAGCAGAGGTGACCTGACTGAACCCCCATTCCCTCTCCCCTGTGCCGCTGGTGGGGGAAGGCAGAGAAATCAGGAGCAAAGTGATTTGAGCCCAGGAAGAAGGGAGGGGTGGGGGCAAGGTGTTTAAGATGTGATTGTTATGTCTCACTGTGCTACTTGGATGAATGGCAACAAATTAAATTGATTTTTCTTCCCCAAGTTGAGTCTGTTTTGCCCGTGACCATAACTGGTGAGTGAGCCGTCCCTGTCCTCATTCTAATCTGAGCCCCCTTTGTTGTGATTCCCTTTCCATCTCACCGGGTGGGGGGGTGTGAGTGCAGGACCACATGGTCCCACTGTAGGTTAAACCACCACATGTACAAAAAAAAAAAAAAATTAAAGAATCACATTAACCATTCCCAGCCATACACTGAATTTCTGTTCCATCTATGGGTCTAAGAATTTAAAACACAAGAATTGAGGTATAAATTCGCTCAAAACACATGATCAGCACTTACCGTTGATACACCTGTTTTTTCTAAGACCAGATACTCTTCTGCATTTCTATTCTCAGCATTGTCCTCTTCTCTGTTTTCACCTTCTTCAGAGCAATCTCTTTTTCTACTAACTTTCATTAGGTTTAGCCTTGAGTTCCAGTGGGGTTCCCTTGCTTGATGCAAAGGTTTTGTACCACTCTGTTTACTTTCTTCTCCAGAACTTAATTTATCATTGGACCTACAAAAATATTTTTTCAGCTTTTACTTTTCAGGAACTACTAAATACACTCTACAAGTTTGGCTTGCTATCAAATATTTAGTACTTCAAGCTAAAAATTAAGTTAAGTGTTCTGCATTTTCATTTGTTTAGTTGTTGAAGCTTAAAAAAAAACATAAAGGAAGAAAAAAACAATGTGAAAGTGAAATAACTTGCTTTTCTGCAGTAGCGGACCTTTCTGATTACCCGATTCTGTCAGGTAGGTCAGAAAGTTTCAGCTATACCACCAGAGGTCCTCTAAATTAATGCACCTACAGGAACACTATATTAATTAACTCTAATGCTCAAGGTACTACTGCTTTTAAACAGGATTAAATTTTTACATCTGTTCAAGCACATACAGATCAGTAAGACAGAAATCTTGGGCTTTTAAATGCATGTCTTGGGAAAGGGCAAGGAGAAGGATCCAGGAAACTACAGGAAAGTCGGCCTCACTTCAGTCCCTGGTAAAGTGATGGAACAACTAATCCTGGAAACCACTTCCAGACACATGAAAAAAAAGAAAGTGCCTTGGAGTAGTCAGCATGGATTCACAATGGGCAAGTCATGCTTAACCAACTTGATAACCTTTTATGATGAAATAACTGGCTTGATAGATGAAGGGAGAGTGGCAGATAGTATCTACCTTGACTTCAGTAAGACTTCTAACACTATCTCCCCTAACATCCTCATAGGGGAGCTGATGAAGTACGGGCTGGATAAGCAGACAAAGGAGGTGCACTGAAAACTGGATGGCCAGGCTCAGAGTTTAATGATCAGTGGGTAAAGTCTAGTTGGAGGCCAGTAACTAGGAGTGTACCGTGTGGGTCAATACTGTGAACAGTCCTGTTCAACATCTTCATTAACGATCTGGATGATGGGGGAGGGTGTAACCTCAGAAAGTTTACAGAGGACACAGAACTGGGAAGAGTGTCAGATATACCAAAGGGTCATGCTGCCATCCAGAGGTATCTGGACAGGCTGGAGAAACGAGCTGACAGGAAGCTCATCAAGTTCAACAAGGGGAAGTGCAAAGTCCTTCACCTGACAAGGAACAACCCCAGGCACCAGTACACGCTGGGGGTCAGCCAGATGGAAAGCAGCTTTGCAGAGAAGAACCTGGGTGTCCTGGTGGACATAAAGATGAACAAGAGCCAGCAATGTGCACTGGTTGCAAAAAAGGCTAGTGGTGTCCTGGGCTGCATTAGGAGAAGTGTTGCCAGCAGGCTGAAGGAGGTGATCCTTCCCCTCTATTCTGCACTGGTGAGGCTACACCTGGCGTACTATACTGGAGTATCCTGAACTGGTGACAAGAGAGACATGAACATATTGCATAGAGTCAAGGAAAGGGCTATCAAAGGTAAAGGGACACAAGCATCTCTCCTATGATGAAAGGCTGAAAAGAGTGAGGATAATTCATCCTGGAGAAAGAGAAGGCTTGGTGGGAGTAGGTAGGGAAACCTCATCAATGTATATAAATACCTGAAGGGAAGGTGTAAAGATAGACAGAGCCTGGCTCTTTCCAGTGGTGCCCAGTGACAGGACAAGAGCAAAGAGGCAAAAAATGAAACACAAGAAGGTTCCTTCTGAACATCAGGAAATACTTTTTCACTGTGACGGTGACCAAGCCCTGGCACAGGTTACCCAGAAAGACTGTGAAGCTGTCATCCTTGGCAACACTCAAAACCCATGATACTGGGCAACCAGCTCTAGGTGATCCTGCTTGAGCAGAGGGTTTGGACCAAAAGACCTCCAGAGGACCCTTGCAACCTCAACCATTCTGTGTTTCTGTGAAATTTCACAATCACAGAAGCCAAGAAAGTCTTTGTCTTGTTAGCAGAAAGACTCTGGGATATTATTTCAATGTAAGTTACAGAAGAGATTTTAAGCAGAGGATCAGAGACAGATGGGAACCAGAACATAATTTTAGAAAACAGTGAAAGTAAAGTGATTTGAGGCCGCTCTGTATCCATTGAAATTGAGCAAAAAGTAGCTTGTAACATAACCCAAAACTGTTACATGTAAATGGCACTATCTGTCTCACATTGCATGTACATAAAAAGCACTCCCTCCACCAAAGAACCAGGACATGCACACTGTTGCATGAACTTATGATGGAAAGAAAAAGTGAAGAGACTCAGAATACAGACAGGAGGCTCATTTTATGTTAGTCTATCGGCCACTTCTCAATTATTAGTGAGTGCAAATGGCACTGCAGAGTCCTCCTTTCAATGGACCACATTCATAGTGCACTGTACCATAAGAATGTACTACTGAGAAATTCAGATGGCGCAACTCTGGTTACTCTCTTCTGCTCCCATCTGCAAAATACTTTCTAAAAAGGAAAACGGCCCTGAGAAAAATTCTGTTAAAAAATCTTATATTACCTAAGGATGCCACCTAGTGACCTGCACAGCATGTAGCCTGTAACAACTAGTACAGCTCAGAGCCTACACTTCAAAAAGCAAGTGCTGTATGAAAACAACTAGACAAATACATGAAGTTTTTAAAGAGCTTTTTTACTTTTTCAACAGGGAACTTTACCTTTCTGTGGTATCCTGAATGATTCCTATAGCATTTGTTGACAGACTTTCTTCTCGTTCTCCCTTGCTGTGGCAGCTAGGTAATTTTTTAGAGGAACACAGTGTTTCCAACTTCATACTTTTTGGATTTAGGTCTAGATTGTAATTCCTGGACAAATTCCGCACAGACAACAGTACTTCCATGTCATCCTTAGATTTGAGGGGGGGAAAAAAAAACAAACACCCAACAATGTTAGCACAAAATACATCACCTGTAAAATAAAGTATTGAAAGTTATGATCAAGATGTTAACCTGAGACAAAACTTTGCTTAAAAACATCCAAGTAGTTTATGGCACCCATTCCTTTTTCCTTTAGAGAAAATATTTATCTAATAAAAACAGGTACCATAACCAATGTAGCCTTTCATGAGCAACCTCTAAGGAGTTCAGAAGAAACCCAGCAACAGAAATATGGCATGCAGTTAACTATTCGTGTATCATCAACATGACTGAAATGTCAAAGTTTAATTGAAGTCTTTAGATTTGTTAACAGAAGTCTATATATTATCAATGTGTCATTAACAGAATTTTAGAATACTTTAGAATAGGGTGCAAACATTAAACAAGAATGTAATTCTTACAAGTCCAAAATTAATTTATGCATTTAAAACCACTTATTTACATGTCTTAAAAGTAGCTGGTGTGGAACTAAGCATCAGAACGTATCGTCAGAAATATTTTAACAGAATTCTCACTTTTGAGGGAAGAAGTTCCTCAGATTCTTCTGCCACGGGCAGATTCTCTCCTTTATTTGCTTCTTCCTCAACTGGAGCAGCAAGTTCTTGTGCCAATGGAGATTCTTTTTCACTATATGCTCTTTCTAGGTTTGGTCTAGTTCTCAGAGATACATTCCTTATGAATTGTCCTGGTTTCAGAGCACCTAGCGTGTCTTCTTGTGAAGTGGATTTTTCAGCACTAGTGAATTTAAAGCAAACAAAAAAGACAAAAAAAAAGGAAAAAAATATGTCACTTCTCTGTGTCTGGGAGGGAAAAAAGCAATTCTGCATTCAAGTTTTGAATCAGCACTTATACAAGAGAATTAGAGACTGATACACTGTTTTGTTTAAAATCAATAATATTATCTTTTTAAATATATTTTCCTTATTTTGGGCATCTATGGTTAGCATGTAAGAAGAAATAACAAAGTTTCTTTGTCAAAGCATTTTTAACATAAAGAAAAAAGTTGTGTTGCTATCCATACCGACATCAAAGTATATGCAGTCTAATACATGCTTAAGATCTTACTTTAACAAGAGTGCACTAGGATCAATGAAAGACAGATCTCTGTCATTTTGCAAAATTTATATGTTATGTGTATGATCGCTGTATATGCCAATACAAACCATATAAAAGAAAAGCTTAGTCAAAAAGAGCTATGAGCTCATACAGATCAAGTATGTACCAACTAAACAGTGACAAGTAGTTCAGCCCAACTAAAAATGCGCTCTGAAAACATGGGAAGAAGATGTCTGTGTGCACTGAAAACTAAATGCTGGGGAAAGACTGTTAACAAGGAACAAACCATTGACACTTCCAAAGGTGTCTCATTATGTACCAGATGAAAGCTTTTCAAATGCAGTTTTGCTGAACAATAATCTCACCTGCTTTGTTCACACAATATGTTTTCAGAAATACAAGGCACCTGAGGCATCTCTTGCTGTTCCTGTTCCTCTTTACTCAACACATCTGCTTGACACAATACGGCTTCATTTTCACTCTTTGATGTGCAATTTAAAAAGCATGAAAAAAAAAAGAAAATCAAGCAAGTTTTAAAAATAGACCTGTATTTTACAAAATAAACCACAGAGAGATTACAGATGCAGTATACTCATGCTCCTCTCTGGGAACGACACAAGTACTCCAAGCTAGTTCTACATAGGTTTAAGAACAAAACCAGCTATAACCACTCCAAAAAATGAGTCACTTTTACAAAGCTTAGCTATGTTTGAGAACTCAGGCAAGTCTATGCAGACTGGCCTATATCCATAACATGATTCATGAACAACCTACCAAACGGTTACATGGAGTTCATCCTACTATAATGGCTTTTGAGGATTTTGACACCTCTTACAGTGCCTAATAAAGTGTCTGTGGGGAAACACAGTGTAAGTGAATGACTCAATCTACCTGTGTAAAGTAGAGGACTCTTAGGCACGGTAGTGGTGAAGGCAGTCAAGGCTTACCAAATTAACAGGACCTTTTCTTTAAAAAAAACAAACCAGAAAAATAGCTATCCTCTGCCTCCTCTTGATACTTTCTCTTGATACGCTATACTAGATTCTCAACATGGACGGGATTCATCCAAGCAGGAAGGATAAAAAACAGCTTTTTCGCTCATTTTATGTATTGCAACATCAATCATATTTTTATTCTAGAGTTTAATGTGCATAATACTTTTTTCTATCATGCAATCCAATCAAAATCAGATCCTCATCTTCCAGAAGACATTAATAGTACAAGTTGTAGGCTTCACTGATTTCATACCTGCAACACCTCAGCATACCAGGGTTTGGGGATTTTTTCTGTCTAGTATGGTGTCTCAGCTTCAGAGAATGCAACTTAAACGTTCTAATTTAATTTCATAAAATAGAACATGCAACTTGGAACCATACTTATGAAGGCAAAGCACTTAATCTTATTAACACTTACGATGACTGTATTGGCAAACTCATCTTTCTGCAACACCAACTGCTCTGCTTCAGGCTTCTTATCTCTCTCATTTTCTGATATTTGTAATTCCTTCTTTCCTACAGCTCTTCCCAAGTTTGGCTTGTACCTCTGGAATCTGCTCCTCACTAACTGAACAGGTTGAAGAGGTCTTTGTTTATCTTCTTCTTCAGTGGTATTTTTGCTATCAATACTAAGTCCGACAGAAAAAAAAAAAGCTGTCATTAACAAAGAAGTTCATTATATTAACATATTAAAAAAACCTGAGCTTTTAAAAGAAATCAATTAAACATAAAGTTCTGCTGAGTTTAAGTTACAAACACAAAACTTTTTTTCAGTAAAAATTTCACAGCACTGGTTTCCTACGTACTTCCATAACAGAATTAACTAACTCTCACTGGAGGCATTAACTTACTGACTGCTCATTCCTATAAAGCCAAAGTAATTTTCACATGGTTTCTCTGATAAGCTAACTAGTATTCCTCTGCTTACATGAAATGAATCTAGCATTTCAGATGACAAAACAGTTGTAAAATAAATGCTTTTTAATTTAATGCCCAGCATAGAAATAACTGGAACTTTAGTATTACGAGTGTCAAAACTATGAGTATTTTTATTAGATTTTCTTTGCCAGCTAGCAATCAATTGGTATAATGATTTCCTTTTAACATACTTCTATTGTAACAGTCAAGAAACAGAAGCAGCTAAGCCCTTACCCTGCATTAGTACTTGAGGTGTCATCTTGTTTAATTTCAGGTAGACAAAACCTGACTGCATCATCCTCTGATCTTGAAAATGTCTTTGGGGGCTTATGACTAGGCCCCTCAGAAACCTCCTGGGAGCCAAGTGACTTCTCCTTTCCTAAGGATTCCAATGGTTGCGGGACTTCATATTTTCCCGCTTTCTGAAAAATATAAACATAAGAACCAGAAAAAGTCATGATACTAAACCAAAAGGTGACATTATGATGTTCACAAAGTTTGGTACTAATCACTTGGAAGTGCTTCCTGCAAAAACCTCTCTGTAACTGCTCATTAATAATTTTCTGGTCTTTCCAGGACACACACACATTTGTTTCTTTTAAACAAAAATAGCTTGAAATCTATATTTCTTCTTTGCCATCTTCTATTAATACTTTCTTTCTTCACTGTCAACCCCACAAGGCCACCTCAGGTCAGAAAGACATCCAGACATGTAACAAGAGATACAGAATGGATGTAATCTTTTTCTTCCCGCATGCAACCAAGTGGAAAGTATAGGAGTTTTCATGTAGAAAATTTTAGCTTTGAATAAATTGTTTCAAAACAGATGAACTCTGTACTTTTTAAATCATTAGTATTCCACTTCACAAACCCAAAAGCTCAAATACTACTAAAGAAAAAAAAAAAAAAAGAAGCCTTACATCTGTATCAGGAAGGATGCTACATTCACTGTCACACTGTGTCAAACTTTCTTCCTTGTTGGTATCTTTCTGTGATACACCCTTATCATTTACACCCAGCACTTCCTTTCTACTACTTGTCATTCTCAAATTTGGCTTTGGTCTCTGGAATTGACTCCTCAGTAGCTGAGCTGATGATACAACAGTTTTCTCCTCTTCCTTCTGAGGACCAGACTTCCTACAAAAACAAACAAAAGAACAATCAAAGGCATGGGACAACACTGGTTCTGCAAATCACGCCTGACATACTTGTATGTAGCTCTCTTCAATACAGTAGCCAAGTATAAGTATCTTTAGCTTTTTTAGAGCAATAACAAAGTTATTTCACATTGCGTAAAAAGATCCAATAAAAGCACATCACCAAAAACTTGTTTACCTTATAAATAGGTGAGGAAAGGTAAGTTAAAAAGAGATGCCATTTCAGAACTGCAACTTCCAGTCACACTTTGAGAGGAATACAGACATTTTACAAATGCCTTTGTTTAATTATGTTTAAAAGTACCCAGTAGATTTAAAGCACAGGTTTTTTGGTTTTTTATTTTTGTTTGTTTGTTTTCTTTTAGGGGACACTTTAACAGGAAACTAAACTCTATACTCAATGATTTACACAAGCACATAGGGACGCACTGTTAGAACCAGCATGGAGAAGGAACTGAGCATCAGAAAAATGTATTTCTTTCAAAACTAGTCTCATAGTTATTAACACCCAACAGCATATAAATTTAGTGCCTTTGAGCTCCTGGAGTTTTGTCTGTTCAAGTCTAGTATTGTCTTAATTAAACATCTCATTTAAGATACAAAACTTGTTTTTAACGCTGGAGTTGAATGCAAAAGTTTAGAATACCTAGAGATATTTATGGTTTTGAACGATCCCTTCTCCCCATTTAAAAAATAACCTTACCCTGTATGGAAATCTGAAAGCTGTTTCAAGACATCTGACAATCCCTTTTCACTTTCATAGCTTCCTGCTTCTGAGGATTTTTCTTGGGAACACTGCCTTGTATGTATTGAGTTCATCTCAGAATCTGTAGAAACAACCCCTTCTAACATCACATTGCATGGCTGAGTATCTTCATGAACCGTCACATCCTAAAAGGAATAAAAGCTTAACTCCATTAAGATGAAAGACTTGCTCGACCTCTCTTTTAGAGGAGCAGAGAAAAAAAAAAATTAGTATCACAAAAACACTCAAAAAGATCTCTCTTCCTATGTGTCCAAGTAATATCAGTGGATACTTTAAAAGCAAAATTTCATTATTTTTCTATATACTTGATATCTGAAGTGGTCTCTCTTCCAAGAGATCTTTTTTCTCTGCAATCTCTCTTCAGATGTATTATCACAAATCACACAAAAATGTGAGATATAATCCATCTATCCATAGAAAACAGAACCCAAGGGCAAGTATGAAGAAATGTTATGATGATTCAGTTTATTCTGAAACAACACACGCAAAGTCTATGCTCACAAATTATGTTGTATGTACCTAGATGTTTGTTACTACAGGCTTCTGCTTAGGACTCAGCAAAACAGTGGGCATAAGCAACTGCTCAAGAAACTTACATTTTTGAGGCATGGATCACTGTTTTCATCCCTATGGTGCACCACATCACCTTCTTCTCCACCTTCAGTTTTCTCCTCTTCAGGACCTTTTTCATCTTTCAGGTCTTTTTGCCTTGCTACAGTTCTTCCTAGATTTGGTTTTGGTCTCTGCACTCTGCCTCTCTTTAGAGGTGTTGGTTTCAGCACACTCTGTTTGCTGTCTACTTGTAAACCAGCTGTTTCATTAGACCTGGAAAAACATGTAAGATCCATAAACACACACCAAATCTGAAAGTGTAAGGAGTCTTGGAGAAGTGGTATTTTTTTATTTTCTTTTTAAAATGGTTATTAACATACACTTATTTAAAATGAAGCTACACATTACTAACTTCATGAAACTAGAAGTGTATCTGCTAGAGACTGAAAGAGTACCTGACAAGTTCAAACTTAGGTGTGCCCTGCTTGTCTTCTTTTCACGCTGGAGTAAAGATACTGCACTAGACAGACCTTTTTCTGACCCATAATGGTGGCTCTTGTATTCCTAGCTGATCTAGAGGCAGATGGACCGAATTTAACGAAGGGTTTAAAATCACAAACATTCAAATACATAAATAATTTCACAATCTTACTAATGCAAAAATATCAGACGTACATTATGACAACTGTCAGATGCTGCTATGCCTTTTTACCCTAAGCACCAAGTTACATAGCATGTTAATGAAAGAAACAACTGCTTAAGTATTTTTCTGCCAGGTTATCAAACACAGTTTATCGCCCTCCATCCTCTTCAACTATCCCCCTTTAAAAAGCCCTTTTAAAAGTTTTGGGTTTTATTTTGTTGCTGTTGTTGCTTTGATTTTGGGGGGGGGGTGGTTTTGGCTGGGGCTTTTTTTTTTCCCCCCCTTTTTTTTTTTTTTTTCTTAATTATCTCTCCTGTAGAACATATTCCTCCTTTTACACTACCACTACCATTTCTCCACTGAAGAGAAATAAAAAACCCACTTCTTAATTAACACATGCATTAAGTTGCCTACATGCTGGAATTTTTTTTGTCCTAATACCAGACACCTAACACTTAACTATACTTTAAGAACAAACACTCATTCCTATTGTTTAAATACTTAACCACTGAAACTGATGCATTTCAGTATTAAAGGTAGTGGAGAATACTTGTTTTAGTTCTCAAGGGACTAACTTGTCAGGGGTTTTTTTCCATTTATTGGGACTGACATCTCATTTAAAAGCACGGCCTTAAAACCAAAAATGTTCAATTTATTTGCTTCATACATTAAAAAATATTCCTATTCTTCCCTCAATTGCAGAATTTTTTCAGAAACTACTGTAAAAACCTATAATACTACCAGACGTGAGAGGGATGTCAAACTGCTGGAGAGCAGCACCCGTCTTCTTACTTTTCACATACTTACTGAGACACTGTTTCCAGGACTTGATCATCTTTTTCTGCAGCTTCTTCACTGGTAGCATCAGATCTATTACTTTCATTAATATTCTGAATAGAAATAGAACATTAAGACGTTAGCTCTCTTAACACTTATAAAATATGGCATTAGCTAACAGACCAGGGAACTATCTGTAACTGGATATAAAAAAGATTGCTTATGACAGAGACAGACAATTACAGGGTACATTTCATATAGTCAGAAATGTGCAGAAAAATCTCAATCAAACAACTAAAGCTGTATTTGCTGCACAACATGAAAGATTACTGGCATCTACTGTTTGTGTGACAAGCTCCCAGCTTAGCTGAGGCCTCTAAGGAATATCCCATTGTCGCTGAAGGTTAAGTAAGTGGCTGATTCCTGGTTACACTTAGGGGGAAAAAAAAAAAGAAAAAAAGAAAAATGTAACATTGCTGTTGCATCCAGCAGCTTTTTAGTTACTATATTATCTCCAGTTACTTTATTAAATACCTTTTTGATTTCCTCCTTAGGCTGTGGATGGGACATTTTATCATTTCCTGCATCTTTTTCAGGCTCTTCATTCCTTACAGATGCTCTTGTAATATTAGGCTTAAATCTCTGTCGACTTCCTCTAACTATTGCCTTTGCAATTACAGTTTTTTCAGGTTCTCTGCATAAAGGATCCACAACAGTGAGATTTACTCCACAATATTCAAGCTTATGTAATATACAATGACTTGCACAACTCTCTTTCTGGAATTGAGTTGTCTTCAAAAGAATTTGCACAAACTTATGTAAGTTTCTTCACATGAGAACCAAACTCTGTTTAGTCTTACAGAGTGTAGAAACTCAATTTACCTATCTATTAAAAAGATATGAAGTTATCACACAGGAGAGGAACCTAACTAGACTGCATACCATAGCTGCTTCTGCAAGTGTCAGAAGCAGAGCCATTAGCTGGCAACTGAGGGTAGGAGGAAGGCATAGTTATCACTTCCTCCCCTTCCCCCTCCCAAATTCCAAGTATAGTCAGTACTTCATGAAGTAATGCTTTCCTCAAGTTCCCAGAAAAGAAGCACATACCTTCTACCATTGTACCACTTGATATCATCCAAGAAAATGCCAAAATCAAAACTAAGACTTCTATTAAAACTTCAGATTTACTTTTATCTTTTTATAACAGCACTATATAGAATAAATTAACAATTATAGTTAGTTAATTTCAGGATACTGGAAAAGCAATGTCAATACTTACTCAGATTTAGTATCCAAATCAGTATTCTCTAATTCTGTGTCTTTGTTTCTGTTTCTTCTACTGTCTTCCTCAGAGCACTAGAATTGAGGCAAGAATATTACTCTTGGACAAGTGTACAGGCACCTCGGAAGCAGTTCTCAGAATACTACTTGTTAGACTGTAGCTGGTCCACAGCACTAGCATTGATAAAAAGAGATACAACATCAGGAGCATAGCATACTAAGCAATGTTCCTTCTTCTGACCTTTTCACTTGCATTCACAAGGTCTGGAGAGGAAATTTCAGCCTCCATTTTTTCTTGGGTTGCTGCTTCTCTCCTTCCAGATGATCTCACTAAATTTGGTTTAGGTCTTTGCAAGCGGCCTCTGCTTGATGTCTTTTCAGTTTTCCTTAAGATATAAAAACAGGTAGTATATGATTACTTACAAGTCTTATACAGTCCAAGATGTACTTCAAGAGCACCACAAACTGCATGGGTAATGCAGCAAGACAATAAAGTGAAAAACAAATTATATTACATCTTTCTGATATTAGCAGATATGCCATTAGTTAATGCAAAGAATGTCAAATAAACCTCAACAACTTTGCTGGTTTTCAGTGTAATCTTCTTAAAAATAACTGAAGGAAGCATTTCTTGCTATTAAATATATAAAAGAATAGCTCTTCTCCTAGGGATTCACAACGGATGTAAGTGTGAACAGACTTAATGATTTCAATAGAAGCAATAAAAATCTGCTCCAAAATAGAGCAGATTTCCTCTACAGACAAAATTTTGCATCTGAGCCCTACAGCTCATCAATAATATTCACATCGGAAACTACTACCTTTTCTTACATTCTTCATAAGGCAGGACAAATAAAGCTTTAACAGTATTTACTGTAAGAGTGAGCTACACTTCAATAAGGGAAAGACAGAAGCATGAAAAACAATTTAGCATTAACTAGTAGTGCATGACTAAACCACCTTTTAAAAATTATGTAATTGAATAGGATGTCACTGATCACATAAAAATGGAAACTTTAGGCACAAACTTGTTTAAACACCACTGCTCAGCTACATCCATAAGTGTAAGAAATAGTCACAAAGGTTAACTTCATAACGGAGTGCAAGTGAGACAGAGACAGCTTGGGAGTATCTTCTAGAGAGGTATGTCTCAACTTGAACTCTTATATTGAGTTCCAAAGAGCAACAGTTTCCAGTTAGGAAGGTATGAATACATCACACACAATGTGTACAGCTAATAAGCTCTGATGTACAGCTGTGAATTTCAAAGAATACAGTAAGGCCCTTTTATTAAAAAACATTTAAAAAAATCAATTTTCACAACCAAGGTTCACCCACAAAATGTCAGAACTTCTTCAGAGAAACTTCCTTGTTGCTGACTGTAGATGGGCTAGCTTTTTCCTAAGCTTAGTAAAGTCTTCCTTCTCATTCCCATGTAACATTTTAAGTCTTAGTCAAAGCATTGCTTCTCACTAATCAAAATTTCTATCAAAAAACTTCACTGATTATAGAAAAAAGTTATCAATTCTATTGATAACTTTGATAATCAAATCAAATTATAGAAAAAAGTTAAACTGTCTAGTCCAGTTTACTATGATCAATCAAAATTATATCCAAAGTAAATGCAGGTTTAGCTCAAGTACCACTGCAAGGTAAAATAATTCTACTTACATGATTTCAGACTGAGAATCACTTTCTGATGCACTCTGCTTTTCATCTGATCTATGCAAGTCAAGCGTGTCTTTGTTCTGAGTGAGGAAAAAAATGTTGCAGAAAGGAAATGATAAGCACAGAAGAACTCTTCGCTGTAATGTAAAGAAAATCAGAAACAAAAACAAGATTCACAGAATGGTTGAGGTTGCAAGGGTCCTCTGGAGGTCATCTGGTCCAAACTCCCTGCTCAAGCAGGACCACCTAGAACTGGCTGCCCAATACCGTGTCAAGATGGCTTTTGAATATTGCCAAGAATGGTGACTACACACTCTCTCTGGGTAATCTGTGCCAGGGCTACACTATCCCCACTCTTTTAGCGTTTCATCATAGGAGAGCTGCCTCAGTTCACCATCCTCACAGCCCTTTGACAGGCTACCTCCAGTATGTCTATGCTTCTCATACCAGGGAGCCTGGAAATGTATTCCAGGTGCGGCCTCACCAGTGCAGAATAGAGGGGAAGGATCACCTCCTTCAGCCTGCTGGCAACACTTCTCCTAATGCAGCCCAGGACACCACTAGCCTTTTTTGCAACCAGTGCACATTGCTGGCTCTTGTTCATCTTTATGTCCACCAGGACACCCAGGTTCTTCTCTGCAAAGCTGCTTTCCATCCAGCTGGCCCCCAGCGTGTACTGGTGCCTGGGGTTGTTCCTCGCCAGGTGAGGGACTTTGCACTTCCCCTCGCTGAACTTAATGAGATCCCTATCGGCTCATTTCTTTGTCTTTTAATTGGATGAAACTGATAACAGACTCCTTCAACAGCATCAACTATCATTACTTTCCAGCAATAGTATCTAAATAATTTTCCTACAGTGCACTGACCATCACTCTGAAAATGAAAAAACACTTGACAACATAGCAAAATAATCACATTTACACCAAAGATTTTATGGCACCTATTCAGTGAATTAAGGTAAAAGTCTACTGCATAAAACCATTATTTTTCTACTTTATTTACCTCTTTAACAACATTAAGAGAATGATGTTTCACACTACTGGTAGGCTGAATATTTCTAGTTTTAGACCAGTGATTATGTTCATATACTTTTAAAGTAAATTAACCACAGCAGGCCAAGAGAATTAGAACTGACTTAAAAGCTCTTTTGAAATTATCAATTTGAGAGATTATTATGCCTTTTTCTCACATCAAACAACCATAACAAATCAGCCAGAACACTTAGCCATTCATGCTACTGACACCACTGTAATAGGCTGGTGTATATAGCACATTGCCCTGGTCAGTTAATTGATTTTTCTAAATATTATTCCAATTAATATTAGGAGATTGGATATTGTTATAACACTTCCAAGTACAGGTACTTAGTATTTGTGAAGATCCTAAGTAGGTGATTTTCTATTAAGATGAAGGCATTATTTTAGGCAATAGAATCTAAAACAAAGGACAAAGGACAAATAATTTTCCCATTTTTCCATTAGGGAAACACTAACACTTCGAATTTCCTAACATCTCACCACAAACTTTAGCTATAAGATCATTCCCTGTCTTAGAAAGCACAAGAAAAATTAATTCTTTCCTCCTCAGCACAAATCTTTAAACAGTATGATATTAAGTTCCAAAAATGACAATGATGCTAGGACAGAAGGATGATCAGAGGAATCACTTTCTCTATATGAGGAGAAATGTAAGATTAGGACACTTCAGCTTGAAAACAATATTGCTGGAAAGAGGAAGAAGTGGCACCATAAAAAAGAAAAGATGAACAGGAACAAAACAATGGAAGTACTGTCCATACTAAACTACCAGTCATCAGGCTTAAAACAATCCAAAGAATATACTTTTTTAAATAAGTGAATAATTAAAGGAATTAACTCTCAGCTGCAGTATGCAATTCATTACAAAGGTACAGATATACGCAAAAAAGCAGCTAGACAAACTCATGAGCAAGAGGTACATCAAGGGCTTCGAAAGAAGCTAGATGCAATCTCAGGAAGTTTCTAAACTGCTAGACCTAATTAGAACATACCCACAGAAAAGTCATTCAATCTTGGTCCAGTTTCTTGTATCTTTCCTGAAATACCTCATGGCAGCCATTACTAGTGGACAAGAGTTTACACAGGTTTCCATTCTGAGGCAGCACAAATGCTCATCCTGCTCAAATCAGTTTCCAACATCATGTCAGTAAGTGTACGTCAGCAAATCTTCCTCCAAGATATTGTACTGCTTCACTTTTGAATAATTAAAGTGTTCAGCTGTTTCAGTTATCTCTGAGATAAGCCAGGCATGCACAGTATACTCTCTAAGTTTAGTACAACCCACTAAAGCCAAGCAAATTGATAGTATTTAAATTTTGGTGATGTTCTCAGGCTTGTTGCCTTTTTTCCACATAGTGGTAGAAATAAATTTTTAAAAAAATTATTTACAAAAACACTTTTAACAGTAAAGAGAAAGATCTTAAGAATTCAGAACTATATAAAAAAATAAAAATACCTTTGTTTCTCTAGTTTCTTCCAGTTGTCTTTCTCTGCTTCTACTTTTTGAAACTGGTAACTCTGAAATCTTGCTTTCCTGTGATATATCATCTCTAATATCTACAGTTCTCAGTTTAGCAGATTCTGTTTCTACTAGAACATCATTGCTATCTTCAAAGCTGAAATAAATAAAAGCACACAAAAACATTATATTAGTGTATTTTAACCAAGACAGTATTATTGTTTAAAGACAGATCAAGTTGGACAGAAAAATTATGTAATTTTGACATGAAATAACTACATGTGTTTCAGAGAATCTGACAAGTTTTAGAGATATTTGCAAGATATAAGCTTTAAAACAACTTTTGCAATGCTATTACAAGATGCCAAAATTCCATCTAAATATTCTAGACTAGACTGGTTTTAAAACAGACTCTACTAATAAAACCACTGTATGCAGAGGGTTTGGTTTTTTTTTCCCTCTAATCTTCTGTAACAATCTATGTTGAGTGCAAAGACAAATACTTTTCCTTCATATGCTTTCAATGAGGTATTAAAGAGCATAAAAGTTTCTGGGAATCTGTATGAAATAAACAATTACAATACAGCTAAATACAATAATTCACATGCAACATTCTGAAGCAGCACTAACAGTTTCATAGTGACTTTTTAGATTTACCGCTTTCTTATACAGTAAGTTTAATAAAACAAGCATTCACTTTCTTTCTAGTGAAAGAATGCCCAAAATTGAAACTAAAAGGTTGCCTCCCACCCAGGTTCCACACAAATAAAGTCCAAGCAACCTTCCTTTCCCACAAGGACCATCTTATTAAAGCAAATACAATTCCAAGTGTATAGCAACACTATGCAGCAACATTACCAAGAAGTGCTTTGAGAGAAATATTAGAAGTTAGGATAAGCCAATATTCTTTATGAACACTGTAAAAAACAAAAGAGTGAAAGCTGTTTGGGATGAGACTTTATTATTAATGTAAATTAATTTTGCAACAGCAGCCCATCAGGCCAGAGAATATATTGAGAGTATAAATAAAAAACAGCTTACTAAAACCCAAGACAGTCCTCAGAAATCAAAAACCTGCCCATTGTGTGTCAGTTAACATGATGGTAGGCATGAATAAATAAAACTAATATTAAAACTTTAAACTATTTTTTATTTTGCCTAACCTTTCCATTGTAAACATTACCTGCATAAATTGACATCATTTTCTCTCTCCATTACATCTTCCACTGGTAAATAGGACTCTGATCTCTTTTCCTCTGTAACAGAAGTCTCACCTTGCTTTCCTTCAATAACACTATCCAGTTCTTCTCTACAGGTAGTATGACCATCATTGTATGCATCACATACCAGTTTTTTTTCTGCTAATGAATAAGAATTAAATCAATTTGGACATTCTGGGCAACATCTTAGAACTCCAAATCTCAAATCCTAGCTACAGTGAAGCAAGAATTAGTTAACTAAGACAAAAAATCCCAGTAGAAAATGCCCAGGTATTAAGCTTTAAGAGAACTATTCTCAGCTAAAATAAAATACTTCTAGATTTAGTATGAAAGATGATTTTGAAAGGCATTGCCCCACAGCCTCCCAAGGCAGATCAGTGATACAAATCAAAACCCAAGTTCTCATTTTTAAGTTTCCAATGTCTTTATATAAAATTTATATTACGGCATTTGAAAGTGAGCCTTTTGCCTTACTTTTCTTCAAGGATTTCTCTTCTTCAGCAATTTTTGAAGGGATAGCCATTTCTTCTGGAAGATTCTCCACTTCCTGTTCAAGATCATCTTTTCTCCTCTTCTTTCGCTTCTTTTTTGCTAATGCTGGCTCTAATGCAATCTGTTCTTCTGCCTGTTCAGAAATGTCCAAAGATTCCTCATTTTCTTTCTCAGCCGTCACAGCATCTGCTTCTACTTCTGCATCAGAAATTCTGGCCTCCTGAAGATCATCTTTATCATTAGTAGCTTCTGTGCTGGCAGCTTTTGCTATTGAGACAATATGGTTCCTGGTTAATAGACTGGTGGAATATTAGGAGGCATAAATTGCAAAGATATTTCCACTAGCAGCATCTTGTGAATTTATACATCACTGTCAATATACTGCCAGGCATATAAGCAGGACCATGAGAAGTCAGTCACCAACTTAACAGGAAAGCTTCAGCACAGATTAACTTCAACACTAAATGCAAAACACATTCTGTACAGGGAACAACGCTTCACTAGCATAAACTCAATATAGGATATAAAGCCAACTTAGTAAATGTTTTTGTTCCTATACTTTTTAGCAGGTTACACAGTCACTTTTGAATCCAGAAAAACAGGCATTGCTATCCCTGAAAAGAATTATCCTATTGCTGCAGAAAGAGGTGATGATGGTTACAGAAAGTGTGCCATGAAAAAGTAATTTTGATCAACAAATGTATTGTAGCTAATCATTCCTATTTATATAAGAAAGCTGAGTCATTATCTACCTAATAATTCACAAGCTCTTTTCTCAGTTTAATAACTTCCTAAAATTCTGCTCTCTCCCTTTCTCAGAACATTTTGTCTTGATCTTTTATTTATGCAGAACATCAACCACCAAGAACCTTTCTTTTTCCTTCTTATTCTTCTTATATGAACTTGTTGCCCTGTAATTAAGAAATCCAAAATGCAAGAGAAGCAGAAAAGCATACTTGCATTGCTTTACACATAAAGTACCTTTAATCCACCATTAAAGTCTACAAATAGAATTTCTATATATAGCTGGAAGTCCTAACAGCTGGGACATTTTATTTAATCAAATCTGAAACCAAGGCTATAGAAAAGCAGCAACTATGTCAATTTTGAGAATTAAACAATTACATTGCTTCCTGGCTAGCATCCACTTTAAAAAGGCTGTTCATTTGCTTCCACAATACCACTTAAAAGAAAAAGCATTCTTATAGAACAAACAAGTCGACAACCAGACAGAATTAGGAGGAAATTTCTGAAATCGTGTCAGTATAACTGTTTGTAGTTTAGGCACATCCATGAAAGGTCCTTTCACAGGTACTGCAGTTATAAGACACTACATGATCAAGAATAATTAAATATAATCTTTGTCCTTTATTTTGAACAAACCAGAGAGCTAAACAATTTTTACAAGACTCCATGAAAAGAATCACATCCTTCAGACTCTGGGAGTCAAATTATAATTAAAAAAGAAACAGAACTGTTAAAAGAAAAAAGTTTAAAATGTAAGAAAAATTTAAACTCAAAGTTATAAAACAGCTTGCCAAAAATATAGTTTTATATGGTTTTGGCACAAGGATACCAAAAGTGAATTCATTAAGCAACTCATGGAGATACTCATCAAATGTTAAATTAGAATATCCTATTCAGAATATCAGTGCTTCAGATTGTGGAATATCACTAATCTCAGTGTAGTCTCACACTCCCACCTAGAGAAAACACACCTCAGGAAAGCATCTGCCACCAATTATTACTATTCCACACATCAGTAAACTACATCTGAAAAAGTGACACTATGAAGACAGGATTGCTTCTTGCTCTGTCTGGAACAGGGAAAGAAAAGATTCCCTACATGATTTTTCCTCTTCTAGCAACACATTACCAACCACTGCTCTGTAACGCTATCTCCAAGCATTCTTTTGAAGTACCTTTTGGCTTCTTCCGAGGCCTTGATGGTTTCTTTTCCTTTGGCTTCTGGTTTTTAACAGTCTTTTGCTTTTTCTTTCCCTCATCTGCTAAGACCTTCTCAAGCAGATGGGCAAAGAATTCAAAATCAAAGGGACGCTTTTCTCCTATCAGATTAAAGCAAAGAAATAGAAAAGATTTCAAAGTTCATAATTTTTCCAAGTTTCTGCTTTGTAAAATAATCAGCGGTACATGTTACGATACTAAAAAGCAAAGGTTAAACAGAGAATTATTTTTTAAAATACTTTCTGCATCACTTGAGCAAGGACTAGAGTTCATATATATACGGATTATGGTAAATTATTAGCAAAAAGGTTACAGTACTTAGTAGTTTAGAAACTTTCAGTAGTGACAAATACACAAATAGTACCATAGTATAAAATAATGTATTAACATGCTGCTCTAGGGTTTATGCACCTCATTCAAATAACACACAAATTGTTTAAGGATTCTCAAAGCACTTTACAATAAGTAACTCTGCTAGAAATCCCCAAGAATCAGAATAATCTTCAACTGAATAATCATCAGCTAGGAAAGTTTACATTAATCTCATTTATCAGACATATAGAAAAGCGAGAAATTAAGCCTAAAGATCTTTACTGTGAACCATGCTTGTTATAAAAACCTAAGATTCTCTAGCTTCTGAAATTACCTATGAGCAAAAACTTTTTCTTAGCATTAATTCAAGCAAGGTAAAGCACCAAAATTACCATGAAAAAGATTACTACCATGTAATGACTCATTGTAGGGTGGGGTACATTTACTTACTGAAAGCTTTGTCTATCCTCCATCCATTAACTTTTTCCTCACGTTTGAACTTGTTCTAAAAGGAAAGGTATATTTGTTTTTTTCAGTAAGCAAGAAATGCAATAATATACTGTACAAAATGGCAGATCAAGATAAGCCTTCTTCAATGCAATGGAATTTTCTACCGACTAAAATTTGCAAGCACACTTAAAGAACACAAACTTAATTAATTTTAAATATAAAATCTGTCATCAGTAGATACCACCAGTCAATTTTTTTATTATTTTCAACATCTTTGTTCTTACTTCCAATCTAAGCAGTGTTTGAAATACTGAAGATCTTCCCAGCTGGACACCACAAAAGAGGCAACACAAAAGACCCTCACCAAACATCCACTCCTGTTACCAGCGTTCTTCAATTAAAATAAAACAGAGACAAACTGTGTCCAAGTATACTAGATTTACTAGATATGCTGACTGGAATTCAACTCAGTATATTAACGTTTTGGATACCTACTACCTCTTGGAAACAGGTATTAAAAAAGCATTGCTACAGAGACAATTAGCATCAAAATTTTCAATACTAATAGGGGAAACATAGGAATAGCAAATGAGAAACAGAAAAGTGAAAGCAGACATTTAATTGCTTTATCGAGTGCTTTAATTTTTACCTTAATTTCTGCTCTGGCTCTATGAGGAAACAGTCGTCCAATTAAGGAGAAGTCTGTTCCTACCATACTGATAGCTAAAAAGAACATGTCTGTTTCTGAAATGGGAAAAAAAAAAAAAAAAAAAGATGCACACTTCAGTATTTAACCATCCTCCCTGATAGCTAAATAAAACCACCTTTCAAACTTAATGTAATGAGATAAAGAACTTCAAGCTTACCTCTTGTTCAGCTGACCTGAAGTATGTGTGTTATTTTATTTAAGTACCTCTAATATTTGCTGAACGAACTATTAACAGAAAGAACTGTCTAATCTATCATAAAACTGCAGAATATGAAATACATTTTGTAAAGCTAGTAAACCAACTCCACATTGTCAATGTTCATTTTTTATGAACACGACCACAAACAGAAATCAGAAAAAAACATGTGTAAAAATACCATCTTCATTACAATTTGTTAACGGGCAAAGAGTGCATTCCAAAAGCAGCATAGTGAACTCTGAAGTTAATTTTTCCATCCACACTTGTAAAAAAACATTTCCCATTGTAAAACATCTTCCACAGTGTTGTCAACCTAGAGACAACAATCAATTCACAGCAGGAATAATAAAAATAACAATCCACCCACTCAAAGAAACGCTGCTATCCACATGCACTGAAATCAGCCCATATAGAGATGGCTTACATAATTTACTCCTGCCCATCCTGGAAGAATCAAGTAGAGAAGCTGTTAAGAAGAGCAACTGCTCCATAGAGAGCTCAACTATCTGGACACCAGAATCCAAAATTACACTTTTGATAAGGCAGACTAGCATTTCCACAGCACCTAAACATCCATGACAGAAAAAATTCACAGGTAGCCTGCATATCATAAGGCATTGGATTCTTCAAACATGCCAATTTTCACAGTAAACATCAGAGCTCTGCTTGTTGTGAGAGTCTGGAAGGTTAAGACTACATCACACAAGTAGATTAATTTACTTCACTGGAAATAAAAATTGTGGAGTATAAAACACAGATGAAAAACTAAGATTTTTTTCAGGAGACTAAAAACTTGAAGCCAAAAATATACTCACCTTTATTTGACCATGGTTTTGTGTAAAAGCTTTTCCTGAAGCTGGAATATGTAGTTGTAGAGCCACGCTCAAAGATGGGATCATTTTCTTCTACAACACATGGACCTTTTGTTCTTAGAACTTCTACAGTTAAACTGGAAAAGGAAACACACAAAGAGACTTATCTGAAAAGTTATGTTATCTTGCTAACAAGACACATAATAGTTGTTCATAAGCTAGCTATTCAGATTTTCCTGTCACAAGTCAGAGTTTGTATCATGTAATCAGGTTTAATAGTTGCATTAAAATGTATTTTAATCGGAGAATGCAGCCATAAATTGTTATCCTCATCAACCTGTGCAAGTAAATTTGCTTTTCCCTTTTTATAAGATATCATTCAGACAGACCTAATTAAATACCTTAAAAGACTGTCTTTTTAACATTCAGGAAAACTATTTTGCAAAACCACAAGAGCTCTCCATATCCTTTTAGAATACTTTCAAATTCTTTTATCAGGACTGCTCTATCCTTACATGCTGGCATAAATCTCATGCTAATAATGCATTTGGGGAACTCAATAATTTGATAATCTAACACTTTAAAAAAAGCCACATTCTAAGCAAAGTTACTGAAAACACTGACAGCTGAATAAAGCAGCAACATGCAAGATCCAAAGCTGAAGCAAATACTGACAACTGAATAACAGTAAGCAGACATATGTAACTGTGAAAAACAAAGTTAACTAAATAGAAGACATTTGTAAGTTTGACAAATACTCAGTATTCATTCACTGTAATAAAATACAACATCTTATTCTGTCTCTTGCTCCAGAAAACAAAAAACAATTCTGATAGAGTAAGTTTGCCACTACTGAGATGTAGGTAACTGCTGCTCATATTTGGTCACATATTTGCACTGTTTCCTAAGATAGGATAGCTCGACTCTCAACACATAAATACACTCATGTTTGTCCCCATCCAAAGTAACTGTTTTCTATTCACAAACTAAGCAGCAATGTAGTATATATTGTCTGTGAGTCAGGCACAGAATTTGTTACCTTTCTTCATCCAGTATAATTGAACCATCTTCTGCTACTTTCACACGAGGAACGAGAAGTGGACCGTCCTGACTCTCCTCCCCATTCTCTGCTTCTTCTTCCTCACCTTCTTCTTCGTGATCAGGAGTATTTTTCTCTTCCTGTCTACAATTTTAAGAGACCAAACAAAAATATTACTTATGTTAATGTTTTCAATTGCTGCCCTGTATGCCAGACATTCAATAATTTAAGGAACCATCCAGCAACGCAACTCACCGGCAAGTTAGTCAATACATAAACTCTGGAATCTGCTTTTCATTCTATTGTAAAATGAACAAATCCAAAATCTTTAACCACTCTCCCCTTCTAAATTACAAGACAATATAAATAAGGGCTGTGACATCGAAACAGTGGGGCAGGGGGGAAAGGAGACTTACACTTTTAGTATTACCACACAACCATGGCTTTTGACAATATCGGAAAACTTTTTGACTATAAGTACTTTCACCACCAATACTTACTCTTTCAATTGACTCAGTGCAGAATTTTTTTCTGTTCTCTTTTCTTCCGCCAGTGAAGACCTAGAATTTTATAAAAAGCTATAGATGAATGTTTGTACAGATGCATTTCTGCTTCATTCCACAAAACCTGCTTGGAATAGATATTTATTGAGTCCTTTGTACCACACCTAGACTTGAGTCTAACTGAGCAATCACCATTGCTTAATGAATTTTGCTTTTTTTTAAAAAGCAAGGACCAAAAATGGTATTTATAGCAATAATCCATTGCAAGGATACAAGGAATGTGAGAGCATCTAGCTCATTACCTGCTTAAGGTAAATGTAAAAGAAAAAATAACACGGAAAGTGATAAATAAATTAAACACAGAAGCACATAAACATGAACAATAACAAAACTCATCTGCTACTGAGAAGAACAGGACTTGGATGGCTGTACTTATGTTTATGTGATTGGTTTTGGTAGTTGCAGGAAAAAGGCCCTGCTCTGTTTGTGGTAGTCTTGTGCAGCCAGCTGTGTTAGTGTTCCCTGTGTGTGCGCACCTCTGGGATGCTCACTCAGTTTTGCTACTGGCAAAACCTGTAAAGGGAACAGTAGCAGCTACATCCATCCAGCTGCAATGGAGAGACCTCCTGGGTCTTGCAGTGCATTTTGCACTTCAGCACCCAGGAAGGAGAAATGCTTAGCTTCCTGTAGTCCACTAGATTTGGCAGGCATTCATAACTAAAAAAACCCCAACAAACTATTATTCTTTACTACAAAGATAAATCAACACTATGGACAGGTTCATGTTTTTATATTTCACCAAGCACTAATCTCCATTCTCATTTCTGTATGAAGACTGAGTAGATGTGAAAATGCCTAGAAGCTTTTGTTACCATTGCAACAATACTGCATCTGTAACTAATACACCAGATTTAAAAATTCTCCTTTTCAAAATTATTAAATCGATAGAAAAAAAAAAATCATTTAAAAAAATCATTTAACTTAAGGAGAGAGAAAGAGAGTCATACTTACTTCATAGGATTGTTTTCTGGCAGATAGTATATCAAGTCTCTCATAGTCATTTTAGAACGATCTGGAGGAGAACGTCCTTCAATTATTGGAGGCCTATGTTTCAACTGTTTGCATATAAAAAGAAAAAAACCCCTTAAATTCATCCTGAAAGTACCATATATTTCAAAAATTTTTTTTCTTCGTTTATGAAGTACCCCATTCAGAGAGTTTTGTTGCTTCCTTTCCTCATCTCAACAACTGAAATAAGTTTATTGTAAAAGTGTCCCTTTGTCAGAGAGAACACCACAGACCCTTAAGTGACTTACCCTCTCAGAGAGATTCAATACTTGGCACAAGTAAAAGTGAAAAGTTATTCAAAATCACAGAACTCAGTAATCAAGTTGAAAAGATATGAGAAACCTCAAATCCCAGGCTTCTTAACAGCACACTGACCCATCATATTACCAAATGTGAAATTTTTAAATTTGGAATGTTGACTTTAATATAATAGAAGGGTCTCATGTCAAAAAGGCTTGTGTCTAATCAAATGAAAAGACATACCGTTTCTCATTAAATCTGTACTATAAGGCAACACAGTGCTACTCCTGCTTATAAACAGGCTAAATCTCTACAGAATTATGAGATATCACAGAAAACACTAATGCAAAGAGCTAATCTGTGTTAGGTGAACCACATGTCTCTGCTCTTCACAGATCAGCATTGGTCAACACAGGCCTACCATCCGCTCTTTCTTCAGTTCCTCTTTAAGCATTTCTCTTAACTTCCGAGCTTTGAGGATCCTTTCATGGTCAGAACATGTTCGTTTCTCTTTTACAGGAGCAAGTTTCATAGGCAGCTTTTCTTCCTGTGTTCCTGATCTTTCCTGTGTTGGTCTCTCCTTGAGTGGGGAGGGTACATTCTTCTGCAAGGTATCGTCATTTTTTTGAGCAGCTACACCTACAGTTTGCTCTTTGTTCGCTGATTTTTTTAGTGGTGAAAACTGTGGCACTTGTGGCACAGGCGTTTTCTTTTCAGGCAGCATGGCAGACTTTAAAGAGCTTTCAACATTACTCTTTTCTGATGGAGAGGAATCCTTCTGAAGCGAAGCACTGCCATCAGGAGGTTGTGAGGCTCGCCTCTGCGGTTTTGATGCAGAACGCTGAGCAGATGAAGGTCCAGCTCTGGGTTTGGCAAGATTGGGCATGGTGGAGATCCGTTTTCTTCTCTGTGTAGGCATCTCTGCAGGTTTACTAGCTTCTCCAGCAACACTTGAGCTATCAGCCTTGTCATCGCTGGAAAATTTAAGAGAGTATTCTGAAATACTTTACAGTGACAGATGTGTAACTCTTACTTTCAAGATATGTTTATGCACCAGTCAGTATGTAGTACTACAGAAAAATACAGTTACATACAAGAAGTCACACTAGAACTAATCTGTAGCTGGTACTTACACACAAACTAATCAGCTATAAAAATAAGTATATTATTTTCTAATATTAATTACCATTAATTAATTTTACTTTTACAAGCTAGTTACCAACAATGCTAACCTCACATATTACTTCTCCATCCTACCGTCCTTTTTTGGAAGGCTCTCTACTTCCAGCTGAGAATACCAAACATCATAATACAGTAAAAGCTTTATAAAAAAAAACCTCACATAACATAGGTAACATATGAAAAACATTTTAATAAAGCTATATGCAATGAGTAGTCTGATGATTTTTATTACAATCAATCTGAAGATTCCTCTTATGTGTTTGCAAGTACATAATATGTAAACTGTGAATTCCGAAAAACTTCAGCAGCAAAAATGACTGCTGTTATTCTACTGCTCACACTTAACACATCAGAAGTAGCCTTTTAGAGGCAACAACTTCTAGCTTCCCTGGAAAGGTTGCTATTTAAGTATTTTTCCCATCCCTTATGCAGAAATAATTTTCAAAGTGCAAGCAAAAATGCCAACCATTATTATCTTACTAAATCAGCAGACTCCTTCAGAGTTTGGTTCCTTGGCTGTTGGTCACAGTAAGACTGCAGCAGAATTACAACTGAGTCATGAAGAGCGTTTTTTAATTTTACATTGGAACTATGCCTTGCTTCTGTATGTAAGGACAACCAGAACCATGATTCACTTAGCCATCTTCAAAACCAGTCACAAGCCTCTGAAGGAATACAAGAAAAGCATAAACATACAGTGAAACTTTTCCAAATCCTCTCCAGCTACTATCTGTGACTCAGGCAAAAGCTACAGATTATGTTTTTGTATTTAACAGCGTCAGCAGATTTTTCTGAATCAATTTATCCCACACTGTGAGTTCATATACATTTTTAGCACACAAAATATCCCTCAGCAAGGAGTTCAGCATCCTTACTATATGGTGTATGTCTCTGTGTTTTGAATCAGATCCTTGCAAATTCCATTCAACATTCTGGTTTTTGTACAGCAAGAAAGAGTGGAAAGTAATTCTTTGTTCATCTTCTCCATAGCATCCAAGTTTTGCAGAGATTTTGATCAGAGTGCCACATCAGATTTCTGAACAGTTAAATACAATTTAGCACAAACTGTATTTTTAAAATGTAATCTTATGTTCAGAGAATTTTCACTTCCCTGATAATCAACAAAACCCACTCAGTATTTAGAAAACAAAACAAGGAAAGTAACTGATGCTACAGATACAGTTTTGAGCAGCTATGAAAGAAGGCCTTAGGCTGGAAGAATAAATACGCAAGATATTTTCACATTTCCCTTTACTTTTCTTGCAGACCACAAAACAAACATATTGTGCTGTATGTCACCAACTACTGCACTCAGGAAATCAAATTGTGTGACCTCCCTCAAATCCACTCTTCCTCTATCTTCAGAGACACCCAGGTGACAAATCTTCAAAAGGCATTATCTAGAAAGACAGCTCTCCAAGAAGCTAATACTGCCCACACTGGAATAAATTCCTGGGCCTGCTCTCTCCTATTTGGTTGCTATACATCCTTAAAAGCAACCAAAAACTTTGAGAACCAGCTATTCTGTGGAATTTAGGGTGACCAAACAGGGGCAAGAATGGAGCAGCTCTCACCTGTGCCTTTTCTACTTACTCCCAGGACTAAAAGTTCCCCTGAGGGTCTCCCAGCAGTTTTATATTGGATACTACCTTCTCCCTCCAGCTGAGCTGTGGAATCTATTGCAGCACTCCAGAGGTTCATGTGTCTTTTCTTGTAAGTGCATTATTTTCCAAACCTGCAGTTCTCCAAAGAAGTTATTTCCTAGCCACATCCCACACATTTCACTGTGTTGGAAAACCGAAGAGGTTGGCATGCTACATTCAGGGTGAACAGCTTCCACGACAAACAGTCTTAAATTTCTTGTAACTGCTCTACCTTTTCTTTACAGCAGCAGGGTATGGTTTTGTGGATTTGTACGCTTGGATATTTTCCACATTTATTGAGGAAAATATTTTATAAGCCTGTTACTTATATGGCAAAGGCCTATTTTCCAAGCCACGTGAATACATCCCTTGGAATATTCTCCCTTTCAGAACAGCATTGTAAGTTTCAAAACTAGACACCAATTAGATTACACTGAGGCACTCAATAAATCACAAACACAAAAATCTTTAATAAATCTGATGAATCAGCAACATTACTACATAACTGAAAAAAAGCAACTATATCTTCATTTAAGAAAGAAGTATTGGATAACAAAAGATCCAGTAACCTGATCTCTGTAAGACATAAATTTTATAAATAAAATCTGAAAGAAAAACAACCTTACAGCACAATGCAAAGCAAGTTTAAACATAAAAGATGTAAGACTTCGTTGAATAAAAGGCAGCATGGGTTTACTAAAGACATGCCATGTCAACTAGTCCAATATCTGAATTTCTAGTCACAGGAAACAGAAGACTGTAAGAAGACCTTGTACTACACCATAAAGAAAAAGTTTAAACTAAAAAGAATAGAAGTATTCATGCAAGATGCAAAAGCAACTAGTTACAAGAAGTGAGAAGGTTGTTCTGAAGAGCAATTATCAAACTGGGGAAATGTCTTGAAGAACTGGTCTGCAGTATTTTTGGCAGGGACAGAGTTAATTTTCTTCACAGTAGCTCATATGGTGCTGTTTCAGATTTGTGACCAAAACAGTGTTGATCGAACATCCACGTTTCAGCTACTCCTGAGCAGTACTTACATGGTGTCAAGGCGTTTTCTCATGCTGCCCTGTCAGTGAGCAGGCTGGGGGTGGGGAGGGGCCACAGCCAGCACAGCTGACCCCAACTAACATTCCATAGCATATGACATCATGCTCAGCATATAAAGCTGGGAAGAAGGAAGAAAGGAGGACATTCCAAGTGATGCCATTTGTCTTCCCAAGTAACCACTACATGCATGCAGCCCAGCTTTCCTCGAGATGGCTGAACAACTGCCTGACAATGGGAAGCAGTAAATGATTTCCCAATTTTGCTTTGTTTCCATATACAGCTTTTGCTTTACCTATTACACTGTCTTTATCTCAACCCACTTAGTTTTTGTAATTTTGTCCTTCAGATTCTCGGCCTCACCCCATGGGGGAAGGGAGCAAGCAAACAGCTGTGTGGGGCTTAGCAGCCAGCCAGGGTTAACCCAGAACAAGGAGGTTCTGAAGGACTGGTCCTATAGCCGACCTCACCATGCATTTCCATTGCAATAAAAAGCACTTAAGAAATTAAACAATCAAAAGAGAAAAAGTGAGAAATTTCTCCCTCAATAGTGCACAAACAAGTGAATATAAAACAGGATGTGGGTGTCTGTAAGAATGTAAAATCATTCAGTTATGGAGTAAAAGAATTTCTGCTGTACACAGCAAACTGGAGCTCTCTGCTGCTGCAATGCCAGCAAAACTGAGTATCAGACCACACTAGGCCTCTCATTTGCAGTCTTAGCTTATACATTACTTCCAGCACTTGCAGTGCAAAAGAAATGCAGGTTTTGCTTGGGCAGCAAATGCATCAAAACACCCAGAAGTCGCTGTCTGCTTACCACACTCACAACTGTCACTAGGCACTGGCCGGAGGGCAGCACAGCACCTCTGTTTCAGAAGGTCTTCAAGACCAGACAACTCCAAAGCAAAGGAGGGACACCCAGGAGGTGACAGGACGTGACCAGCTGCGTTACTGGAGAGCCTGCCACCACCACAGCTCCAGCGGCTTCTGAAGGGCGTCAGAGGCGGGTCCCCC